AGCCGGGGATGTAATTTCCAAAACAGTTGCATGCATGTGTGAAAGCCCCGGGCACCCCCTGGCAATGCGGGGCATCGTTTTAACATACATCCTCGGCTAAATCTGCGCCACTTACTGCGCTGTAGTCCCGGTACAATTGCCCGCTAATATATGATTGGATGATAAGACCTACCTGAAGGTATAGCCAGCCTAGGTCTGAATCGGAGAAACATGTGAGAGCTAGGCAGGAGCTAGGCCAAGGAGATGAGCTTGATTTTTAAATTACCAATACACACAGTAGTTGCTGACTGAATGCCTAGTGTAGGCTAGGCCAGGTAGGACCAGACCCAGTTTGACAGCACTAACAAGGCCTAGGCCTACACACCCGAAACCGCAGCTACTCTAACATGTAAAATTCCCGGCCCTTCCGAGGCCTGTCACATCTACGGGTAAATTTTATTTACTTCCCGGCACTACGGGGACACAACTATTTGTACATCCCCAGCTCAGTCCTGGCTAGTGCTCCGCTACAGCCCAGGTCCGGGGTGAGGGTGCGTCGGGACTACAATTGACAAGTGCATTCTCGATACAACACTAGGCCTAAGACCGATGAGTTACTTTAGCACCAGTTACTATTTTATCAACTTAAAACTTACATATACAGTAATAATCATTGAAAGTAGTCATTTAATTAACATTCCATGTTTTTTTCATATTTCCAGATAATATATTAATAACAGGAACATATAAAAATAATTATTTTATACCAGCCTGTTAATAATATAGGCCTGCCTTTATTTCCTCTTTCAGGACACTCGACGAAGTACAAGAAATTGCCAGCTTTGCCAAGCTAAGTGAATCAGACACCGTCGGCTTATCACAATGTCTATACTTCTCTGAAAATTTAAATCCGTCTGGAATGAAACTAATGGAAGTCAATGATGACCTATTAAGTAATTTAAAAGCAGGAAAGAGGTTACTTTTATTATTATTGTTATTATTAAATAAATATTCCAACTCTTTGTCAAATTCAACTGAATTTTATTTAACAACAAAACACAAATATCAAGTAACATGACAATGCTGGAACTTAAGAGGGCGACATTGCATTATTAGATTATTAAAATAGATCACAGTTCTCTGTATGGAACTTTTGTCACTTTAGTAGTGCCTGAATATATAATTAGATTATGAATATGCCTAAGTATTACAGCTTGTGCAGTTATAACTGTCTTGCCTACACTCCATTAATGTCTAATTATTATTATTATTATTATTATTATTATTTGAACATTTGAGGAAAAGGTTACTATGTAGTTAATGTTATGAGTTACTATATTTATTACAATAGTTATTAATGTGTATCACGTAATTCATCATTATATTAATTAGTCTTTCTTAATGTTCATTGTTTCTATTTTATCTATTATTGATTGTTAAGTTGTATCAACTTTATTAAAATTATTAGAAGTAATAAAGTATTTTATGTAACTGTACCATATTCTCTATCTCTTTGAAGACTTGTCATCCGAGGTGAGAAAACAGACCATGCTGTACTCTGCACTGACAACACCACTTATGATCTTAAGTTAGCAGAAACGACAAATGGTTTACTTCTAGTCCCTGATGGAGTCACATCAGACAGTTTTGTTGACAACACTAGGAGCCTAGAACACAAGCAAGTATGTCAGAAGAAAAATAATGGATATGAATTAACTATGTAGACAATTATACAAGAAACATCATATTGGTGGTCCTAGTAAATTTTTTAAACGTATTCATATACTGTATCTCCCTTGGTTCACACTGCCACCACTTAAGCTCCATCATCGTCCAAACCTTGATTCTCACATCTCTCCATGTATCCTTTAACCTCGCGACTTTATTGAAAAGATTCTCTTCAAATTATAAAACAGTAATAATTAGTATTTCTCTTTTTTTTTTCTTTTTTTTTTTGGTGGGTTTGTTTAACCATTCTTGTACCTAGCAGGTCCTGGCTTGTTTGATGATTAGTAGGAATTCCATGTAGTCAAAATTATGCCTACTGTTCATGTTTTGCTTCGGAATGATTTGGCTAGATTATGCATTGGTGGATCCAGGAATTCGAAATAGAGGGGGCCCAGGGAGGAGTTTTTACAGATACAGGGCCCATCCACCTCAGCCCCACGATGGTTTGGGGCAGAGGTAAGAAAAAGTATGATTATAGCACCTAGATTGCTGAAAATGGCACTCTCACACAATTTGTATATAATTTTCTCTTTTTCTCCAGTTTTTAAATAATTTTGAAAAATTTAGGTGGGCCAAGGCCTGCTGCAACCCCCCTCCTCCCCCCCCTTAAATCCGCCAATGTTATGACAATTTATAACCTTATGATTGGAAGTAACATAGTCTTTTTTTAATTCATTTTTGGCTTGTAATAATAATACCATTCTATCAAAATACAGTATTTAACTTTCAAATTTTATTCTGTATAATAATGCTAACAGTAGATGAGATTTAAAATAACTTAAAATTTCCGATCAAATTATCTGTTTGGTTGTATTGGGATAATGCTTTGTGTTAACATATATCTGTGATATAAGTCAAACCTAGAAGTACTGTAGAGAGTTTTGAAAGAAATCTTAATGATTATTCACATTTTTATATACTTGAGTATTCTGTTTCATAGTTTTACCATTACACAGTTATTTAAGTATATAGTTTTTGATATAATATTCTTACATTCAAGGTTGCCGGTCTGATTCATACATATTTCGAACTTAAACCAACTCGCCCGAAACTTAAGAAAGTTCGTGTGTTGCTAGAAGATTCTGAATATGAGGGAGCAGTGGAGGAAGGGGCAAGAGAGATAACCGGAAAACTATATACCACAGACGATCTACTTGATATAGTTCAGGCCAGTGAGGATGAAATTTTCCGAGAATTAGCAAAAATCCAAGCCTGTACAATAAATGGTATTAATTTCTGTTATTTGGTATTTGTATAGCGCCTTTCTTTTATGTTAGAAAGTGGTTTAGTTTTTGCCTAGTCATTGGTTCCACATGCTTAATTGTTGCTGTCATATTGGCTCAAGTAATGCAAAATTTCCACTACAAATACTTTACATGTTGTTTTGATTTCCCTCTTTTTGCAGGTCATTGGCGGCTTTTGAGTTTCGAGTACAAATCACGTGTTATAGCAAGCATTCTCAACTTGGTAGAAGAAAATTCTTGGCATTTGTCGGCAGTTCCTTTAGACGAAGTTCTAAACACGTTAGACAACTTAGAACCAAGGTAACTAATAAGCAGATTGTTTAGCATCTACTGTATTCATATTGATGTGTGAGAAGTACTTGTTTGTTTTGTTTTTACCACACACGTATAAAATATAAAGTAAGTGTAAACATTACAATTAAAATTACATTTTCTGAACAAAGTCAGAGAGAAAAAAAGTGTGGTAGTAGGGCAAAATAGGTTTGTAAAACAAACTTTTGGACATAACCAGTTAAAACAATAATAATAATAATAATAATAATAATAATACCAATAATAACTAGATTTGGTGATCCGCCGAACTTTGACCCTCAGGGAGCGCGAGCGGTGCGTGTTGAAATGCTAAAAAATGGTCTAAAATATACTCTAGTTAGTTTTTTAAAAAGTGTAATATTGAACAATTGAAAAGATTTACGCGTGCATACACGGACGTCTTGACGCCTGTGCACATGTTAATGGCACAAACAGTTTACTCGTGGCCCGGGATTTATGGATCTCAGCTTAGCAAATGTCTTAAGTCAAAAAAGTTCAGATGTCAGTAATAGATATCTCTTAAGCTGATTTATTACCCAATCTTAGCAAAATATTGGCTTAAAAATCGTCTTAGATGGTGCCCGCGTACAATTTTCTAAATTTAACAAATTTTTAAGCTAACAATATTGATAAATTTGACTTAAGCAAAAAAATGTACTTAATTTAAATTTAATCTGAATTCTAGTTTGATAAATGTGCCCCCTGTTTATGAATACCGTGCCAGGACCCCAAAACATGAAACAAAACGTAATTCCCAGCTTTAGTAAGTGCAGTGCGCGTGGAAATGAGCGTACGGTGCGTAAATTATGGAAAGTTTTGGGATGCTGAAAATGACCTGAAACGTTATTTAAATTATCTGAAAAAGTGTTAATGAGAATTCCCAAATTTTACCGTACACGCATGTCACGATGTGCTCGTTGACGGTAATGGCACAAGAAATTGACCTTCTATCGGTCTGATAGCGTCGAAAAACAGTCTGCCGCCCTCTATCTGAAAAGTGATATTGAGAATTTCCAATTCTGAAGTACAGCACGTCACGACGTACTCGTGGACGGTAATGGCACGAGAAATTGATCCTTGTCAAGAGTAATTTAAAAACACCTGTTGGTGCCACACAAATTTTCCATTTATAATGTACTATATATCAATCTTATATCGTCGAAATACAGTCTGCCGCCCACTGTTGTTAATGATATTTGATAAATTTGAAGAAAGAGAGATGAGAGGGCTCCAAAGATTCATTCTTTTTTACCATGATGACGTCATCAAAATGAAAAGTAGGGACACTTCCGAAAGAGAATTGTCTCAGCTATAACGTACTCACAGGTGGGAGACGATCAATCAAGAATGAGCAAGATATGTTCAAACGAGTATAAAAAGAGTGACGTCATAAAGAAAAAAAATCAGTTTTTTCTTAATTCAAATGGCAATAAGCTGACGTCACAATGTCCGATCAGCCATTATGATCTATAACATCATATCTACAACTCATGTGCTTTCAGAATATGTAATAAAAATTGAGGGTTGCCTTTCATCCTAAGGAGCTATAACTGATTAAAAATATATATATGGTTTTAAGCATATATAAATTTAGACGAACGCGTACGTGCACGCTTAAAAGCGCGAAGGGAAAATTAAGGTACATGACATTCAACCTTGACCTAAAGATTATGCTCACTTAATATGATTCAGAAATGACGAATGGTTAAGATGATATGGAAATTTTTTTGACCATGATGACGTCATCAAAATGTAAAAAGAAGTCAAATAAATGAAAGAGAATTGTCTCAGCTATAACATACTCAAAGTTGGAAGACGATCGATCAAAGATAAGCGAGATTCGCTCAAATGCGTATTTTCAAAAATGACGTCATAGCTAAAATACACTTTCTTTGAATTCAGATGCCAATATGGTGACGTCACAATTTCCGATCAGCCATTATGATCTATAAAATCATATTATTTACAACTTATGTGCTTTCAGAATATGTAATAAAAATTGGGGGTCACCTTTCATCCTAAGGAGCTATAACTGATTAAAAATAGGCACGATTTTAGCCTATTTTCACTCTATGTTGACAACAACCCGCACAAGGATTCGTATCTTCTGTACGCGCGTACGGCATTGCTATTGACGCTAAGATGACCAAAAAAGAATGGAAATTTGTGAATACAGTGTCAGGAATCTAAAACATGGGAAAAAAACGATAATTCCAGCTTCTGTACGTGCGCACGCGTAAAAATGCGCGCGCGGCGCCGAAAATTTAAAACAACGTTGAAATGCTCAGAATGGCCTGAAACGTGCTCTAATATATTTGTTTAATTTACAAAACATGAATGTAATAACTGTTGTTGACTTTTTAAACCCAAAATAACATATTTTAGGGTGGTAAGCTAACTCACTTTTGGAAATGTAAGTAAAAATGCCCCCTTATAAAAAAAATTATTTTTGTGTGCTACACAAGGTATTCAAGAGATCCACACAAATAACTGCCATAATTTTCATGTATAAAGCTATTAATTCATTTATTACATAATCGTCCTTTACTGTGTAACCACACCTATGTTGAGCAATAATCTTCATGTATTACTAATATCACTGCAATCTGAAAGTCTTCGTCTTTATCATAAACAGTTCTTGGACGTCCATGGGCATCACTGTCTCAATCGTTTTTTGCTTCATTTGATCATTCCATCTGTTGTGAATACTATTTTTACTGACCAAATAATTTACGTCTGCTTAATTTCCATTCTTCAGAGATTAAATTTCCTCAAGTGCTCAAGGGACTGCTTGCAAACATGGTGGTAGCAATGATATGTCTGTGATCTTATTGCCACTATTGAACATTTCACATCTTAATTGATTTACACTTTTCCCCAACTCCATGCCACAGCCTTCAAGTTCTGATATCTTTTGTGACAGAACACCTAAAACTTTAAAGTTATCAGAAAGTGTCAACAAAACTTTGCCTTTGACTACAGAAGCACGAGCAGTGGCGTAACGCCTATGCGCTCTCATGCGGCGGTCCGCAGGGTTTCCGAATTCTAGGGGCACCGAAGGGGCCTTACCCATAAGTTCCTCGATCTAGTACCCTGACCAAAAAGGACTTTGTTGATTAATAGCACCATACTGTGTCTCTGAAATCTACTGTGGGGCATATATCATATTATAACGATTAAAGAGAGGGGCCCTGTCAGCCTGGGACCCCAACAAATTTGTAAAAAAAAATTAAAATGCTGATAAAAAAAAAATTATATTCACAATTTTAAGTCTGTGAGTGCCATTTCCGGCCATCTAGACGTGCCATAGTAATACATTTTCTTTTCTCAGCCTCACAAAAGCAACAACATATTTTGTGTCTGAAAACGACTGTAGGACATATCGTAATATCCAGTGGTGGAATAAAGAGTGGTGGGGGGATGGGGGAGGGGAGCTGCCGGCCCAGGGCACCACCAAATTTGTCAAAATATTTTTTAACTGGAGATAAAAAGAAAATTATATTCACAATTTTATGTCTGTGAAGTGCCATTTCCTGCAATCTAAAGGTGCCATAATTCATAGATTTTCTTACCTCAACCCCAATTTTGGTGGGTCTGAGGTAGTATAGACCCTCCAACTGTGAAAGTCCCTCCATATTGTATCATTTATTCGTCGTTAAAAACATTTAGAATAAAAATGCACATCTAAAATCCCACGATGGAATTGGTGACCGGGACCCAAAAAGGGCCCCCAGTTCCAGAAATACACAGGGCCCCCAGCCCCATCGTTACGCCACTGAGCACGAGATCCAATAAGGGATGATTTCTTCCCTGGTGAAAGTTAACGCCACTTAATTTGAACAACTTTCAGTATTTGCCAGTGTTTGTCTCTAGAATGACTCTCTCCGTTGTCATAAAATAAGATATACAGTAGCAACGACTGAATTATCGATGTCTCCAGAATGGAACGGTTGATATTTATGTATTGGTTGTAATTCCTTAAAGCATGCATTGCATGCAGGACAACTTTCGAGTCTGCTTTTCTTGGCTGCTACGAAGATCTGGAAATAATACAAAATCTCTTTCAGTGACAAGGATGCATTCTCGCCGATAGCAATAGTATTCAAGAAGGTATTCAACCAGTTTGTCGAAATCCAGTTTGCCGAATTCAGTTGTTCACTGAAAGCTTGAAATCCCAGTTTGCACAAACTCAGTTTTCCGAAACCCAGTCCAAATCTCTGTGTTACAAAAGTACAGCATACTATGCATTTGAAAGGAAGGAGCTTCATTTGTGTACAAATTAAAAGGACAAATATTGGAAGACAAAAAAGCTGTAGAAAAACACTTGAAATTAAGGATAAGCATCGTATCCTTCTAAAATACTCCCTCTGCAAACCCTATCAGGATTGTTGTGCCAGGTCCCGGACCACCGAGGCTCTAGTCGGGACCTTGAGTCAGTCCTCCTGTCGACAATTTTCCGGAGCCACAATTGGCATGTGTGTATAATTGTAGATTATTATTAATTTGTTTATTTCCTTCATTATTATTTTTTTTTATAAATTTATGTATTTATCATAGGTATGCTAATAAAATGTTTTAAGTGCGAGGCATATAAATTGACTTTTATTTGCTGATAGCCAATTGATTTACATATTAAAACAAAAAGAATCATTTAACTACAATAAGCCGCTATTTCTTATATGAATACATAGTAAGAAAGTGTTCCAACATGAATGTTATGCTGTGGTTAATGTTTTATGTACTGCTTTTATTTTACTTTCTACAAAGTGGGTTTCAGTGCAAACTGGGTTTCAACAAACTGGGATTCGTAGTTTTTGATTCAGTAAACTGGCATTCGGCAAACTGTGTTTTGGCAAAGTGAACTCGAAAATCTACCAGTTAGCAACCTGGGGTTCTACAATCTGGCGTAGAACCACCAAGAAGAAGCCGACACGAAAGTCTTCCTGTATGCAAAGCATGCTTTAACGAATAACAACCAATGCATAGCAATCATCCGTTCCCTTTCTCGAGACATCGATATTACAGAAAATTACACCCCGGCTTTCTTTCGTAAAGGAAAACGTAGCGTAGCGTCTGTAATCATAAACTGAGTTTGTTGAAACTTTCAGCAATTTCGGAGTTTTAGATGTTCTGTCAGAAAAGTTGTCTGAAGAACAAGAGTATGTCTTACTGCTACTTGGAGTTAAGGAGAAAAGTGTAAATCAAGCAAATAACATGTTCAATAGAAAGTTTTTCAGAGGCAAGATCACTGACATGTCATTGTTGCCACCATGTTAGCAGAATCTCGAGCTTCAGATACTTAGCAAACTTAATCGTTCAAGAATGAAAATAAGCAGAGGTAAATGACTGTCAATAAAAATAGTTGGAATAAACAGATGGAATAAACAAATTCCTGTGGAAGTCCAAGAATTGTTCATAAGATAAATACGAAGACTTTCAGATTGCAGTGATAAAAGCGATACCTGAAGATTATTGCTCAACATAGGGCTACACAGTACACTACAAGACAAATATGTAGTAAATGAATTGATGCCTTCTTCATACATGAAAATTGCGGTAGTTGTCTGGAATACCTTGTGTAGCACACAGAAATAATGAAAAACAACCTGATATTTGTAAGGAAGCTGGAATTTTTTTAGGATTCTAGTGATATTTTCCATTCTTTAAAACAGAAAAGGGCTAATATAAGGGGGCATTTTTACTTACATTTTCAAAAGTGAGTTAGCTTACACCCCTAAAGTATGTTGTTTTAGGTTTAAAACGTCAACAGCAGTTATTACGTTCATGTTTTTTAAATTTACAAATTTATCTAGGGTATTGAAGTTGCTGTTAAGTTGTTATTTAATTTTGGCGGCCATTTTAAGAAGCACCTTCAATTGCCTCCCGAACTCTTCACATTAATAACTTCTAGTTATACTGTACTCCTATCATTACATATTCAAAAGTTGGTCAAACCTACCTCTTCTGTGCTTATTTTACCCATATATATGTAGTTTATTGGATTTTGGTGGCCATTTTGAAAAAGCGCCCTCATGTTACATCCCTTTTACCTCATATAATCTGATTCCCCATAAAAAACTGGTCTAGAAAAACCATATGAGAATTTCTACCTCTCCAAGTGGCACCTATCTCAATTATATCAATATACTCAACACATTTATTATTATTTAAAAAAAACAAGCTATTTTATAGGCCTAAAAAGTAATTTACAAAGAATTATGTACTTATTATTATAATATATAAAACATTTAGTTTTGCCTTGTATTAACTTAAATAATGAATCTTTCAGTAGGCCTATATAAAAAAATAGAGTTGCTTGTTACAAAATAAAGTAGAAGCTGAACTTCTTCTTGACTCTCATCTCGTACACTGAAAATAATAGTACTATTTTCACTACATGGCTAAAAAATCACAAGTATTACCATTACTACAACTGACAGGGCCATCGTTAAATTAAGTCAGATTCCAAAATATAGCATCATATTGAATACGTCATCTGACATCATGGGAACCTAAACTTTAATTACAATTATTTGTTTACTAGGCCTAATTCGAAATTATTGTTTTAAGACTTTAACCTAATACATACTGATAATAATAGCTGAGACTTGATACACATTTCACAATTAATAATCGTTTTTAGTATCTTTAACTGAATATTTATTGTCTACTAAAATGAAATATGAATTATATATGAATCTTTAGAAATACAATTTCTACAATATTAATCTTGTTTTTATATAGATAAATGTTCGATAAATACTATCTTTCATAAAACAAACGAAATTCAGCGCATCTATTTTCATTCCAATCAATGGCGTTTGTAAACATGTGCACTGACGTCATCGTCGAATCCCAGGACTTTCGACGGTAAAGCTGGCCTGCCTGCCTAGGTCCTAGGCCAACCAATAATAATTAACAAAATGTATTATTTTTTTTAAATATAGGCCTATGGTGCATCCTGTACATGTACTTCAACTTTTACAACAAAAGCCAGGCCTACGTCCTACTGTACTTAAGCCTAGGCCTACACTAGTTTGATGTCGTCGGTGTATAATTCTGTCTCTAAATGCAACGTGACCACTAGGAAAAATATTCAAGATTGGGTCTAAAAAATCCAAGATTTCTTTTAAAAACCCAAGATTCGCAAAATATTAGTATATATACATAAACTTCATTTAAAAGTCCTTCATTTTAAAGCTTTTTCAATGAATTATATACTGTACAGTATTTTGTACTGTATAAGCCTTAACGAAGTGTCTGGATTTTCAAGATTAGAAACTTGTTCGCTTTGGGCCATACTATTCGAAGGCCTACTCTGTGCGTCCGTGGAAAATCCTTTTTGGTGACTAAAACGTGATATCCTTTCCTCTGGCATTGTATGTTAGGCCAAGAGTTTGAAGTTTGTGCGCAATTTCACCCATTCGATATTAACAAAGTCAGTACTTCACACACATTAGGTCTATGGCCTTATTATATAAAAGGGCGTAATTGATCTTTTTAGAGTGCGTAACTGATCTGTCAATTTTATACCAGGGGACTACAGTATTGCATAGGAGTATTTAACAATTAAGAAAAATTAGGAAAACAGTTTCCTTTGAAATTTACTTAAGCGAGTGTGTATGAAACCGGGTCTATGGCAACTATAATTTGATACTACGTCTAGAAGTGATACGGACCCTATTATTAAAAACTGTTGAATTCTAAATGATTACAAGATGACCAAGCATATGAATGAATCAGTCTAAAATGATATTCAAAGATATTATACAGCTATTGAACCACTAATGTTTGTTTTGCATGTCTATTACACACCGTCACTCACAAATGTATGCAAAAATTGGTCGTAAAATTTGACAACAAGTTGACCATTAAAATCTATTGTAAATATTTATTTAAATCCGTACACCGATTTTGTTTCAAGTTGTTTGTTTTCAATACTATAGCTGTTTCTTTACGATGACATTGTTTTGAAATTTTACCTTATAAGACTCCAAAATTCGTTTTATGGGCAAACAGCAGAAAGCTCTAATATTTTTACAAGTTGACCAAGCCTGTTGCTGCATCATTATTGTTCAGTTACGATCACTATTCAGGCAGAGAGCAGCAGGCTGATAATTTGTTTTTCCCACAGCTATTTAGATGTCATTGTTGGTAACTTTTTTTTTTTAAATTGTGTTAAATTTAAATCATAAACATCATCAGTGAAAGAGTCATCATTATCATCATCATCTTTTCCGTCATTATTGTCATAATCATCTTCATTATCTGCATCATCATCATCATCATCATCATTAGCATCATCTGCATCATCCTCATCATCGGTACTATGGTGAATGGGATAATAATACAAATGTACATTCTGTTTGCTGCCCTCTAGGTGTATTCTGAAACATGTCCTTGCGTGCTACAGTGAAAAATCTAAACAGAATAATGAGTCGGGTAAGTTAAATTTGTTTATGAAATACAATAGATAAATACAATCATCATACATTGAGTCAGTCAAACTAGTCACACAACTGTACTTGTTTTCTTCTTACCTCCGTTAGGTGTTTGGTTGTGTCTACCTGTCCCTTTCTCAGTTTGTTAAGTGGTTTATGCAAAACCCAATGAATGAATCAATATAAAATTTAGTAAAGTGACGCATACGGGTCTCAGGAAGATGTAATAAACATTTGGGAGAAAAGTCAAGTCCACAGAAATAAAAAAAAAAAAGTCACATTAATAAACATTATGCAAAAACTAATCAATCATCATAACAATTGAGTTGAAAACTACGTAGTGGTCTAGGAAAGAGTGATACCATTTCTGGGTTGAAAACGCACTATGTGGACACCCGCAAAAAGATTGTCATGTTCTTTCTAAAATCACGACCACATGATTAATTTGGAACATGTCACCCAGACTATGTTAGATTGCGGGCAAAATATGCACTGGCTTGAAGTCAATACTGTACGCAACAGATAACAACAAAAAAATGACCCAGCATGACGGGATGGGAGAGGGTGCAAACAATCCGGATGAAGAATGAAAGCCCTATTCCAATGAAAACTGCAATCAGCCTACTCCAATCAATTCACATCTCAATTTGAGAAAATTTCAGTGTCGTGTCTATGAGGGTGCTTCCCAATCCACTGGACTTTTTTTCTAAGAATGATGCCAATTTGAGTTCAGTCTATTTTTTATGTACAGTATTACCAAAAATAAAGAGTGATAATTAGTCTTATCGCAAAAAGCAAAAATGCTCATTTCTGGCAAATCCCCTTTAAAATGGTTATATTGTCAAAATTGTTTTATATCATTTGAATTTATATGATCTCTAATCAGCATAATATGGGCTATTCTACAAAAAACAAGACCAATATTCATTTCACTGTTCTTTTACTTGATGAAACGTAATACGTAATTGGAATCCATGAATATCTATTTATTCTGGTGCACCGTCGTAAACTCTACTCAGACATATATAGTTTACTGTATATATTATTGTATTATAATCATTAAAATGAGCCCAAACAACAGGAAAAGTCCATAATTGCAATTTCCCAAGCACTGAACTAATATTGGATAATGGTAATTTGTTTTAAAATAACAATTAATTTACTTTGGTATTTGTATTATCTAAGGGTATGCCTGAACACATCATAACAACACATTATTTTGTAAGAGGTATGATATTCATGAACAAGTTTGAAATCAAGTATGCTTTCCTCAAAACGTGTGTTTTACGTTATCGGCATTAATGGTGGATACATCAATAGAATAAAACCTCATAGCTGAATTATTGATGAGTATTATTTTGCTTAACATGTTAGTGAATTGAAAAAGATACAATTCCATGAGACTTTGACAGTCATCTGAGGTCAACAATATTCTAAACTGCAAAAATTGTAGCGACCTCGTTAAGCATGTATATTACGTTATCCATGTTCCTCAGTAACTAATAATCGAACCAACTATTTGATATTTAGACCAAATTATATATATGCCCTCACTTCATTATGGACCAAATATTTAGAATTAACATTGGATTTTTCGCGCTAGACAGTAAAATAGAGCAAAATGTAATTTACGTTATTGGGAATTATGTGATCGGGCAGATTACTAGTGCCTTCTGACCCATTTTTCCACGCTCCAGTGGCTTCCATCACTACCGAGAAAGTACACCGATGTTGGTAAAATCATGGCATATGACAGTGCAGATAATGATTACAATATCATGTTCAAGTTGATGGTGAAAATAAATACCAAGTATGTTTGGACGGTAACATGACTATTACAATGTTTTTTCATAATTTGACTATTTTACCACAATTCATGGCCTATAATGTGTATTACGTTATCCATACTTATATATTGTAAATTGATAATGATGCGAGCATGTGTGTAACATAAACGGCCGTCTCATAATGTATTTACAAGAAACATCACAGAGAATGTCTACAAAATGAAACAAATTTAATATATTTCAAGACAATGTGATTTTGAAACATATATTCCATGTGTCCATTACACTAATATATAATGGTTAATTATTAACCATTATATATTAGTGTAATGAATATATTAGTGTAATGGACATAAACTAAGTTTCTTAATGATAACATAGGAAATGCTTCTAAACTAAGTGTGAAAACGCATAGTGATTTTGTTTGTTTTTATTTTAATGTAAATTATGCAGGTTTACTTTATTTTAAAATGCTTGGTATTAACAAAGAATTACGGTCACGTAATACCCATCAGCCATTGTGTACAAAAATGTACCATAATGTTGATCTGCTATTTTTGATATGTCTACTTTCAAGAAATTTAACTAATCGGCAGCAAGAAACAATTTATTTAATTATTTTTTTTTTATTAATTTACAATAACAAATAATTTAAAGTGTTACCATAGTAACTTGGATTTTTCAAAATATGCAAAAACACTCCGTTTCAAATAAATGGTAAGGGCCATCTTGCATTAGCAGTAAGATTTAGTTTAAATTTAACTACTCCATTCTCTATAGAGTTGTTATTAGTGTAAAGCAACTTTTATGTTTAACACAGTACAAATTATGAAATTGACTTGCTAAAATGTCAAGAACATTTTTTTGTATTTAAATATAATGAAATAATATGAGTTTTTTGTTCCTTTTTCACTTATATGAGGTCCATCAACATATGTTTGCAAGAACAAATCAATTAAAGCATTATCATAAATGCAAAGTACCGAACTTAGGCCTAATTTGGAATATTGAGAATAAGCAAAAACACCCTTATTTCAAGCAAATGCTACAGTACTCCACCCACATTTTTAGGATTTTTGTTTGTGAAAAATATCTGATATTAGTTATAAAATTCAATTACTCTATTCTATGTAAGAGCTGTTGGAATGTGACCTTTACTGTGTGTGTTATTGTAAAAGTTATGGAAATTACGTGTTGAAATCCTAAAAAATGGCCATTGTTATGGCAATGAGACACAAGAAACTAAATCAATACTATTTGTGTTTGATCGAAGGTCTTTATACTATTTGTGTTTGACCGAAAGACTTTTACCATGCAAATTTCAAAGAAAATCTATTCTGTCATAGCTACATAATAGTCAATATATATGGACAATGGCTCTTAAACTTTGGTTTGACAAAATTTCAAGGTTTCTCAATTCTTTAGAAATGCGTTTTCTAAAGATAATTTTTGTAGTGCAATGTACAATGGCTAGCCATAGTTTTGTAATAAAAAACGAAAACAAAGGCTGTTGCATTAAAGAAAGAACTGTTTGACAAACGATATTGACTGGCAATTGGCCTAATATTGATCATGGGATAACCTGACCTACCTGACCATTTCCTATGGCTACTAGCCTTTGATCTACAGATATTACTATTGTAAGAGTGATGTTTCAGTTTATTTTTATTCACATCAAATTCACAGCCAATGCTGAATTACGTGATGTTTACAATAATAAGCAATTAAGCTGTGCATAGTACACTATAGGGATATTATTATACTATGGTTAGATTTAATGCCTGAAAAAATTTCCTGAGGGCCTGCAAAGCTCAAACGGAATTTTTAAATGCATTAAATCTAACCTAACTGCTTCAATCAGATTTGAATTCCCAAAAAAACCTGGTCATAGCGTCTTCATAGACAGCAGAAGATCCCTGGTTTGAATCCCAGTTGGGGCACCTTTTTTTCACACTTGCAGATTCCTCTTCTTTAATGTTTTAAAAAATGTATTTATATAATTTCAGCAATATATATATATATATATACATATTTATGTATATACATACAAATATCTGTTTATTTCCCAATTACCATTTTCATTATGTATCCCATACTTTCAGCCTTCTTTCTGTTGTATTCACCCTTATAGTTATCACCATAGTCACAGTTGACTGCCTCAAATCATTATCATTTTTATTCTCTTCCAGAATCTATTCTCTATTCACTTAATGAAGATAAAATATGTCAACATTATGCTGAAGCTTTGCTGAGGAACTCTGGGAAGGTAGAGTATATTGGTGATTCAAATATGTTATTGCTGCTAATGTTTTGCCAAAAACAACCTTGTTGTGCTGAAGCATGTGACTAACCCAAAATCTTGAAAATATTATAGGTTCGACTTTCTTACAAAAATATACATTTTTTTAATAAAATGGAGACCAAATTATTTGTATATTTTTATTTTATATATTTATACTGGTAAACCTGAAATAGAAGTCAAATGGGCTTAATTTTGAGAAGCCCCTCCCCCCAATCTCAAATTGAAGCCCTCCCCCCTTATTAATCAGCCTAAAAAAAAAGCCCATCTTATCTGCTTTTTTTCAAGATATTATAGTACTGCACTCGGCAACCAATGGATTGGGTTGTGAGTGACTTTTTGAGGGTCGCCAGATCTCATCTGGTCTCAAAAAAACAAAAAACAAAAATTATACAGAAAGTTTTAAGTGTTAAAATAAACACTTTCTAAAATCAGATTCTCATAAAATCATTGAAACAAAACATCTTTTTATAATAAAATAATTTGATGAAATTTTGGTTATTGTCTTCAATATATGTTAATTTTTGGCTGTTGAATAATATTTGTGTTTCAAAATACACAGAAATGTTGTGTTTAATACGATGACATAACTCTTTATAATTTTATTTCATTGACCAAAGAATGAGTTACAGTTGAATTAAAACTAATCTGGTAGCATTAGTTTGCAATGAAAAATTCATTTTAATATGAAATCATCAGTAATGTATTTCATATTACTGATGATTTCATATTAAAATGAAATCATCAGTAATGTATTTAAAACTACAATATATTTTTCCAATATTATTTCATGATTCAAGGTTCATCAGAGAGAGAGAGAGAGAGCAGCTTAGCTCAGTTTGCTAAACTGTTTGTTTGCTGAACCATGGTTTTAAAACGTTTAAATCTGGGTTTGCATACTGGAAATATAGGAAGGAAATCAGGATGTCTTTATTATGTTTGCTCTCTTAGAATTTCGATATCACACCTATTTCCTTGTCGTTCTGTATTTAACCATTTTTATCTGCACTAACAAAACAAAAAATGCTGGTAATTAGCGGCAATATTATTTCTGTACTACGGTACTTTTGAGGTCAGTGCCCATAGTGATTCTCTTCTACGATTATTATGCCTACTTTTATTTCAAATTATCTGTTACTGTCGTTGGTAGCATAGCATGCCTATATCATTAAATATATTTCATTTAATTAACGTTATTTAATTTGTTTAACTAAATTTTGTTTTATAAAGTATGCGTATATATATTTTTTAAATGTTTATATTACTAACGTTTATTATACACTGAATGCAATTCATTATTGTATTAACATTCTCTTTATATTGTGACAACAAGGGTGTAAACAGAATGATTATTGATATGTATTCTTTGCTTAAAGTTTCAGAATTTTAAAGTTTTAACTACCTATAGTATTGTTGTTGCAGCACAACAAAAAGTTGAATTTGAAATTACCAAAAACATTTTAATGAGTTGCTTTATTACTGAGGTATTATCTTTGGCCCGGAGCCCAACTCAAAAAAAAAAATATTTTGGCCTAAAACAAATTAATTAAGAATCAGGGGCCATATACCGATGTTCCCACTGGATTCAGGGGAGAAAATTCTGGTTTGATGTGAAGTTTATTGCTCAAAATGTATCAAAATATAAAGATTAATTATTGTTTTTGTGTTACAATGAAAACAATAAAGTGTCCCCTTAATAAGGGTTGAATATTTATTGAATGTACCATTTGGCACACCTAGATAAGTGTCTCTGTCGAACAGGGGTGTCCTTTTATTAGGGGTTAGCCGTAGCATACTTATATCTAAGTCTATATATCTATGTCTATAATATACTATAATATACCCCTTGTTTCACTAAAAAGTGTCTCCTAATAGGTGTGTCCCAAAGTAGGGGAGTTCTACTGTATTTCATTGGTCGTATTTTTTGTGTCTTGGACGACATTTCTATGATACTCTAGGTCTTGGGTTGTGGGAAGCTAGGGTACAAAAACTATGGGTCTAGAAGTAAAAGGTTGCTGACCGTAGGATAGTATATACACTGTACATGAATTTCAAAGAAACAAAATTAAAACACCCTTGATTATAGGTAATTTAATGCTGGTTATTATACTCCATGATACAGATTGATGTTACAGAGGCCCTATTTATTGTTTTATATAACAGTAGTACAGTAATTCCCAAAATTTACAGCATTTTGAAAAGAAGCCCTTCTTTACTTTACAAATGTAGCCTCGAAAAGAAGCCCATCGCGAGAAGATGTGATATTATATCATTTCATTTTTAGTTCAATCTTGAAGAATTTATGGCAGCATGGCAACAGTGTGTACCAGAGGGAATGAAGACCGACCCAGCCCAACTTAAGGTCAGTGGTGTGGGGTAAAGATTGGCTGTAAAGTTTCTCAGTTTACAAACCAGTGTTTGATATTAAATCCTAAGGAGTCTGTGTTTCTTTATCATAAAATATTGATTCAATATTAAACCCAGTAATTTTGCTATACATTGTTAACTAGTTTCATTCTTTAACAATGTTTAGCAACTATTTTCCCACAGTCTGTTGTTGTGTTCTTATTGTGACCTCTACCTTGTTACCACTAACCTAGTAGATATGGCAACAGTAGTATTAAAGACTGTAGCACTGCACTGGTAACATTGGTACCACTAGAAACTTACTGGAATACCAACAGAGCTCTTATATTTAAAATATATATAGGAAATATTTTTAACCTGATTAGCTATGTAAGTTCATAGGAGAAAAAATTAGCATTAATATTATTTCATAAATTCAATTCAATTCCAATATTTATTCCAAATTAAAAATACAATTAAAAAGTATCAATAAAGGATTAAGACAACCACAAACAAGCAATTACAACTGATGCCTTTCGAAAAAAAAAAAAAGATGGAATGAAATAAATAAATATGAATCAATCAATCACTTATTATTCAAATAATTAATCAATTAACTAAACAACAAATAAATAAAATGAAGAATAATAATATTAAACATAAAATGTTAATGTATAAAATGATGATAAATTAAAGAATGAATTTCTTGTTCCCTCTCTTATGCTTTTTTCTACCTGTAGGGCATAGCGTTGGTAGATAAAACAAGTTTTCCTGAAGTTATCTTTCGGTACCATATTGATGATCTTCCTGAAGGAGAAAGAGAAAGGTTGTTTTTAAGATTCTCGCTTCTATTTTTTTCACTAATTCTAGGTTTAGTATATAAGTCATCATTATTATTATAAGATTTCATGTTTCTTTATCACCACATGTGCCATTGCGTGCCATTATCCACTTCATAGTTATATGTAAGCTTAGAACGTTAAAGAGGAATCTGTGAGAATGGTTGCCCGAACCAGGATTCGAACCTGGGACCTTCGGCTGTCTATGCAAATGCCTTAACCAACTGGGAATTCAAATCCAATTGCAGCAACTAATTCTTCGCACTTTTGCACATACATAGTTGGACAGCACTAGTCATTGATGCACCGCAAATAATAGAGATCAATTATGATACATCCTCTTACGCATATGACTAAAAGATGGGATCTCTGAAAAGTTACTTTTTTATAAATAAATCATGATATTATAGAGATATTGCCCTAACCAGGATTTGAACCCTGGAGCTTTGGCAAGAAGGTCCCTGTATGCCAAAGATCTTATAAACACAAGTTCTCCACGATTTACGCGTAACAAAATAGAAGTGTCGATTTGGTAGAAAAGTAATCACTTTTGGGAGAGGGTGCCCTAGTTGTTTGCCATGGAAGGTGTTCACGTCATGCCAAAGTTTGTTACCAAGTACGTTTTTGTTCCTTTGTTTATTTTAAAGAGAGCGCACATTGTAAATCAAATCAAGGTCAAATCGCGCAGGGTACGCTATGGTCAAAGCGGTCAAAGTTGAAAAATAATCACTTTTGCAAGAAGGTGCCATACACTGCGTTATTACAGATTTGCACGCAGAAATCGTGGAGAATGCTATCTTGTGTTTATAAGATCTTTCCTGTATGCATATTGTGGTTTAACACGCTGGTATTTGCTTATGATCTCTCTCGGTAAAATACAACAGTAGTAGTAATATCAAATAATAAATTTTTAAAAACTGTCGATGATGGCCAAGTGTTTTCAAAAGAAGATGGCTAATAGAAACTGTGCGGTAATAGTCATATAATGGAGGTATTTGGTCATATCAATTAGGCAAGACTTTTTTAATACCTTTTTTTTACAAACACGGCGCCCCCAGTAATGATGATTTTGAATAAAAATAAAATACTTTTGGTCATATCGCACCCACTGCCACAAAAAAATGTGGAAATTTTAGAAAAAATAATAAACATATTTCTTTATTTTTATTATGCCCACCACTGCCTAGAAATCTAAAAAAAAATAAGATATGTATATTTCTTCCTAATTATATAGATTTAAGGCATTTAACCATCCCATTATTACACTCTTTACATTTACCAATAATTATTTTTTCTCTGTCATCGCTGAATTAGAAAACAAGGTTTTATTTAAATTTTTTTCCGCTCTCTAACGATCTAATAAGTTCCTGCAACAAGGTGTAACAAAAGCCTCGCCTTAATAAAATATAAAATTATTTGCATAAGATGTGTGGTTTTTTTGTAAATATTTTCATATTTTTGTAAAACCATTGTAAAACTGAGTGTGGTATATTTTCAGGTTCAATGCTCTCTTTAAGATGAAGAGAAAATGGACAATGGATGAAATCAAGCCATATGTTGAGTGAGTACAATTTTAATTCATTTATTATCTTACTTATTAACTACTTAATTATTACTATAATATTAATTAGTATTAAATTATTTTATACGGTATTTTATTATTTTCTCCTCATTCTGCGTTTTAACTTCAAAAGTCTTTCAAAAATTAAAATTGTTATTTACTTGTTTATTTATCATGGTATAAAATATATTACAAAGCAATAGCTGAGAGCTAAATATGCTTTTATTACAAAATAGAAAAACAAGATAGTTTATTAATTGTTTGTTTTATTATATTTTCTTGCAGAGAGTTGACTTCAGAGAAAGTATCAATTGGAGCACTATTACAGAAGCATGCAAGGGCCTCTACTGGTCCAAATGGTGTTAAATATTTTAACTCTAAACACCCTGTGAAATAAAATAATATTTAATAGATGGGCATAAAGTCTATATTTTTTTCTGTCTTCAATGATCAAATTGTCTCACCTGGGTGATTCCATAGAGAGGAGAGCAGGGGTAGAAACGGCCGGGGGCTACCAAATATTTCAGATTGTTTGGAATCAACACCTACCTCAGCCCCACTGTGAGAATATGGTCCCACATTATGCAGGTGTTACTCATAAATTAGTATTTTCAGAGTTCTTACAAGTTTCAATTTTAGCCAACTTACTAGGCTATTATTTTACAGTTGGAAAAAAATTAACATGCATTTTGGTTACTTGGCAACCCCTTGTGACCAGTGGTTGTTAGGATAAAGTATAATATAGTCAATGCCAGTATAAACTATGGTTATAGGCCTATGAAAATGTCTTGTAAATTTAGTCAAAGGTTAGTAACTGCATTTTTAATATGTTTGAGGTATATCAATTATAACTAGATAAAGGCTTAAGTGGACTTACCTGTAAATAGAAACATATGTCTACTGAATAATTTAAGATCAATATCAAGTCTGCCAGCCAGTACGTACATAGATATATAAGCCTTGAAAAATTTAAAAGGTCAAATGGCATTTCTGGCCAGGTAGAAACATGAATGCTCTAAACAATTTAACACCAAATTAACTCTACACATTTTAAAAATTGTTTTACCAACCAAAAAATAAACCTTTGACCACACTGATCCTATTTCTGAAGTCAAATTCTCTGGACCTCAAACAGTGGTAGCGCCAGTGGAGTCAGGCAGGCCTGAACTCTTGTGTTCCAACACCTCGACGAAGTTAACTGACCAAAAACAATAATCAATAATTTGCCTATAAATCGTCGCTCACATCACGAACTAACACAATCAAAGTAGATTGTGTTAGTTCATGAAATCACAGTCGCGCGTCAAAACGAGCGCGTATTGGTTGTCAAGCAATTTTGTATTCTTTACCACACAAAAAGTCCTTAACGACAACAGCGCGTATTTTGACGCGCTTTTTCGATTTCACGAACTAACACAATTGAATTTAATTGTGTTAGTTCGTGATGTGAGCGACGAAATATAATATTATTTTGATTTCCAATCCCTAAACTTATGATCTGAAAACACACTTTGGATCATAATGTGCCGTAACATTTTTTCCACTAAACCCTACCAGTTTTATTCCTGGATCCTGACCTAGGCTCGTTCGGACCCACCAGTCGGACCCTTCAGTCGGACCCTTGTTGGCAAATTTCTGGAGCCACCACTGACCTCAAAGTGCATACAAAACCTGTTCTAGAATACAATAAGAAAGTAAACATAATCCAAGTATTGAAATGCACGCCGTCGTGTTGAGATTCAATATTTCGACATTAATGATGTCATCATTCCTGATGATGACATAATTAATGGTGCAATATTGAATCCCAACACGATGGCGTACATTTCAATACTTGGGGTATGTATTATACTTTCTTTTCTGAGATTAATCAGTGGACCTTTCGGAGCCTACAATATTTTATGTACAAATACTTTATTTGGTTTCAAATTGGACTTCAAGGGGCTACTATCACAAATGTATATAATATATTTGGTTCCTGAACCTTTAGTCCTGTGGTAACAATGTTATCAATAGAAATACGAGGGGGAGCGATTATTGGCACTCAACTCTTGCATTACGTCAATAGTAAAAATAAAATATGTTAACCAAAAAAAGGTGGTTGTGCTTTGGCTGTACAACATTGTTTTATTTTTATTCTTTTGGCTTAATGATGGTGATTATATTGGAATTATATTAATGTTTGTTATGGACATTTTAGTAGATAGCGGGTTTAATGTTAACACAGACTTTGTACTGTGTTCTAGCTTGTATAAAAGATTTATAGATATGGCCTGTTTATTCATACATACATACATTAATGACTGTAGCAGGTTAAATAAGATAAATATTAAAGGATGATTGAAGTAGAACATTGAATAATGGTTAGCTTTTTATATTCATTATCTATAAAAGTAACAAGCATCAGATAATCGTCTTAATATGGCCCATTATGCTAATTATTTAATACAGTAATAATAATGTCTGTCTTATAGTACGATTAATACAAAACAATGCTTCTAAGCACTTTATACAAAATTAATTCAAGAAATGGAATAGAACCATACAATATTCTAACAGTAACCAAGAAGAATACAGGCAGAGGAACCATTTTCACTGCTCTTTCCCCAGCACTATGAGGCTCCCATTATTTAGAGCTCGCCGGAACATAACTCACAGGGTCTATAGTGAAAATGGCATCCGACTATCCTATCCTACTAACAAAAGAATAAGATAAATGAAAAATGTAGAGTGAATTGTTTTTGCTGATGAAAATGTGAATCGGATTCAATTAGTTTTTTTGTTTTCGTTTTAACAAGAGGAGCAAAGGAATTTGTAATGCTTTACTTTTTTTTAAGAATGTCAATTGAAGCCGTCTCTTTAATAGCTTGTGGACGATCATTCCAAGGACGAGCAGAAGAAAAGATGAATCTGTAATTGCCATAGAAAACAGTAGTCGGTTTTGAGAAGTTAAGCTTCTTTCGCGTAGAGGATTTTAATTTCTGGAATATCAGAAAATGTACTGGGTAATTCCATGTCAAATCAACCAAAAAAAAACCCTCAATCTCTCGGATTTTGTTCAAATTTTTGTATGTTGTTGAGGCCCATGAGAAACGATCAGAAATGAAAATTTTTTTCTCTAGGCCTCCTAATTAGCGAGATATCTGCTAACGAAATTTTGGCTAATTAGCGATACCTTGCGTGTTTAACCGACCATATCTCGAAAAGTATGGCACTTACAGAGCTGATTTTGGTGTCATTTTAAAGCTATTGAGTAGCTCTATAACTTTATTAATAAATGCTAAGTCCTCAATTCAAATATAAAAAAGTTATGACAGGTTGTTTAGTTCAAAGTTGAATAAAAAAAATATATATCTTTTTTTTTTTTTTTAAATTCATGTTAGAGATACCTAATGATGTAAAGAAGCTTCCCTATAAGTTTGGTGATGGGCGCTCCAAATGTTCCTGAACAGTGAGCAATTATATATATATGACATGTCCTTTCGAAATAGCACTTTTTGTACAATTAACAGAGTAATGTGTGCTAATATGTGTATACTGTAGTATAACCAAAAGTAACTCTTCATTTAGGAATTTAAGTTTTAAAGTTGAATTACAATGTAAAATAAAAAGTCTCAATAAATTAGTGATGGACACTTCCTTAGCAGCAAGCAATTATACATATTACTGCATGCAATTTCAAAAATTAGGACATTTTTCAATTACATTATATTGTATTATGGAATCATTATTTTAAGAAGCAAATTAATGTTCAATAAACTGATCAGTACATACCATAAATCATGATCAGATACACCATCGATGAAAATTATAAGACAAATCATTTGTCAAAATAAAATCAATGTCAAAAAGATGTTTTGGCTCAGTTCTAAACCTTAATTTTTTTGGTAAATGCAGCATGGGCAGCCTTTGTTTCTTTTTTTGAGATTAAATATGTTCTTCCAGTCACTGTAGTTTGGTGAACAGCTGTTAGTATATCTTGATGATCAATGGTTAAAGAATCTGGTGGTTCTGGAAATACGAAAGATGGCGACGGTCCATGTGGGTGTAGGAATGTAATATCAACCTCATGCCTATCTGGGTAATATTCCTTGATGCACGCTACCCACCAATGGTTATCATAAGCTGCTGTAACATATCCACTTAAGACCAAACGACTCAGAACTGTGGTATCTGCAGTAAGAGTTACTAGTTCCTGTCTTTTCTCGGCTGCAGATCTTTGGAGACTGGAATAAAAGAATGCAAATTCCGTGTACCTGGAATTGTGCGAGCATTTTCAAATCTCCAGCCAATATAGCGCAGTGTTACCGCTGTCTCTTATACATGGCAAACTGGCAATGTATTTTGTCAATCTCTGAATCTGCAAATTCAAAAAGTTGGCGAGCAGTGATAATCTGTTGATCAAATGGGCGTTGTAAACTTGCTCTGGCTGCTAACCGCTTTATTGTCCCCACAACACCATCAGATTGTCCCTTTCCATGCGAGGTGGCAAAGAAGTGCCATTCAGCTTGAACACCAAAGTCTTCTTCATGGAGGCACAAATTTAAAAAGTTTTTTTCTATTTTTATACTGTGCAGCACAGCCGTCAGAAAAATAGCATATTTTCTTAACATGTCCAAGTGTTTCTGTTAAAAACTGTATGAGCAATTTTTGAAAAAGGTGAACTGCCACAGTATCATGTGTGTTACATTCTGATATAATCACAAAACTTGTATGGTCAATTTCATCTTGCATGTTTCCCCGGTAGTAACATACAAAGGGATGAAGTGTTGCTTGCAGATTGTTCCAATGAAAAGACTGAGAAGCGTCCTGTACTACAAAGCTGTAATTTTTAGCAAAATCTGCAATGACTAAGACTATTCCTGGTTCAAGTGTACTCCTTAGATCTTGGCGGTAACCCGCTTGTTGCTTTGCAATGAAATCATGAGGTAATAATTTTTGAAGACCACTTACAAATGAGTCAAGAAAGTCTGAAACAGTTTGAACTTTGGACTCAAGATTTGAGCGGTCAGTTGAAGTCCACTGTTTATATTCGATCTGGTCAATCATGTTGTCTTCCATATACTTTTCAAGTTTTTTACGAATATTACTAATGTCTGGACATGCATTACACTTGCTAAGAAAGCAATTGATGTGTGGAGGATTGCACATCATAGCTGCAAGGCAGTGACGATAATGTTTAAATTCTCCACCAGTTACTTCATATAATTTTGCTCCTGTGAACATGAGTTTTACATTTTGATGGATTGTACATACACAAACTGAATGCGTACCACTTGCTCCTGCTAGTACACACTGCCTTGGGCGCAATTCCGCAAATTTAGAAAAACCAATTTTGCTGTCTAGATACGTCTCCTTGAATTGTTCATAAGCCTCTCTAAGATTGCAAAGAACCAAATGCTTTTGTAGATGCTGTTTTTTCCCATCCACAAGCACAGACACATAGTCTTTCATACCAGGCATTTGCCTGCTAATATGCTCCGACAAATAGAATTGTACGACGGTTTCCCCAGTTTCTTTAGAAATAGATTTACCTGACTTGGGGTTAGGCATTGCTAGAATTCCTTGTTCCCTTACCAATGTCTTGGCTTTTCTTGCCATATAGTTCGATGTACAAAATTCATCTTGGATCTTCTGAATTGTCCAGCTTTTTGGTAAAATTGTCAGCACCCTGTCTCTTATACACATCTAGATGTGTATAAGAGACAGCTACAGGGTAATTCCATGTCAAATCAA